CCAACAAACAAAAAAGCAAAATAAGTATTTTCACAGCCGATTCTCAAGCAAAGCAACAGAAGAAATTAAACTGGTATTATTAGAATTAAAGACTTTTGGCTGAGCCTGGTGACTCACACCTTTAATCCTATCACCCAGAGAGGCAGGCATATTTCGGTGAGGTCAAGGCCAGTCTGGTCAATACAGTGAGTTCCGGACAGCCAGGGCTATATAGAAAGGTCCTGCCTTGGAAAAATTTTCCCAAAACTTTTGTGTTGTAAACAATACCAATCAAAACAGTGTAAAGACAGTTGGAGACATAGCTCAGCAGTTAAGATCATTGGCTACTCTTCCAGAGGACCTTGGTTCAATCCCCAGCACCTACTTGGGTGGCTCAAAACCATCTGTTACTCCAATTCTGGGAATCTCACATCCTTTTCTAGCATACACATATGTTAGATATATACAAGCAGGCAAAACTCATACACATGAAAAATAAATAATTAAAAATTGTTTCTTATAAAAGTGTAAAGACAGCTGGGCGTTGGTGGCGCACGCCTTTAATCCCAGCACTGGGAGGCAGAGCCAGGCGGATCTCTGTGAGTTCGAGGCCAGCCTGGGCTACCAAGTGAGCTCCAGGAAGGGCGCAAAGCTACACAGAGAAACCCTGCCTCGAAAAACCAAAAAAAAAAAAAAAAGTGTAAAGACAATATGCAGATAGGAGAAATAGTTGCTAACTGTCAAAGGATCAGCCTCCAGATTAGAGCTATAGAATTTTTGTTTGTTTTGTTTTGTTTTTGAGACAGGGTTTCTCTGTGTAGCTTTGCGCCTTTCCTGGATCTCTCTCTGTAGACCAGGCTGGCCTAGAACTCACAAAGATCCACCTGCCTCTGCCTCCCAAGTGCTGGGATTAAAGGCGTGCGCCACCACCGCCCGGCTGAGCTATAGGATTCTAATACAAAGAATTATAATGCAATTACAGAAAGAAATCAACTAAACAAAAATGGACAAAAAACTGAGCATAAATTTCTCCACAAATATACAATGCCTATATAACCACATGCAAATATACTCATTACTGCACAGTTCATCAGAGAAATACATATCAAAACCACAATAAGGAACTAGAGATGGTGGCTCAAATTTGAAATTCCAGGCTAGAAGGCTGAAAAAGGGAATCACTGAGACTTCTAGGCCAGCTTGGACTACATATACAGAATCTTTCTTTAAAAAAAAAAAAAAAAAGCCGGGCGGTGGTGGCACACGCCTTTAATCCCAGCACTCGGGAGGCAGAGCCAGGCGGATCTCTGTGAGTTCGAGGCCAGCCTGGGCTACCAAGTGAGTCCCAGGAAAGGCGCAAAGCTGCACAGAGAAACCCTGTCTCGAAAAACCAAAAAAAAAAAAAAAAAAAAAAAAAAAAAAAGGGTATGAGCTTGACTCCCAGCACTCAGGAGGCAGAGGCAGGAGGATCTCTGTGAGTTCGAGGCCAGCCTGATCTAAAAGAGTTCCAGGACAGTCAGCCAGGGCTTTACAGAGAAACCTTGTCTAAAAAAAAAAAAAAAAGTAGAATATGTTGGCTCGGTTCATTTACAGTTCATACTGGTAAAGACACTTGTTACCAAACCTGATGATCTGAGTTTGATCCCCAGAATCCACAAGGTGGAATGAAAGAAACAAATCCTGCAAGCTGTCTTCTGATCTCCACACCTTATACACATGCACGCATACAAACACACAAATAAATATAAAAAAATCCATAATGAGCTATGACTTTATACTTACTAGTATGGCTACAATAAAGGACAGGAAAATTGTGAAGCAGATAAAAAACTGCAGGTGACGGGGATACAGCTTAGCTGGTAGAGCGCTGGCCTAGCATTCATGAGACCTTGGTTTGATCCGTACCACAAAAGCTGGGCCTCATAGTATATGCCTGTAATCAGCATTGGGGGTAGGGGGTGGGTGAGTAGAGGCAGGATCCGGAGTTCAAGGTCATCCCAGGCTACATAGGGAGGCATCTGAAGTTAGCTTAGCTTAAAAAATTAATAAGGCTTGAATAAGGTTGTGGTGACACAAGCCAGTAGAATATGCTGGAGAAGGAGCAGACAGCCTGGGCTATACTTTTTTACTGGGCATGGCAGCACATTCCTTTAATCCTAGCACTCAGAAGCCAGAGGCAAGAGGATCTCTAAATTTGAGGCTAGCGTGGTCTATAGAGTGAGACTCCGTCTTAAAAAAAAAAAAAAAAAGTTTGATGGCTGAAGGTGTAATAAGATGGCAGACAGCATGCACAAAGCCCTGAGTTCCACCCCCAACACCTCTACTCTCCAAAATTTGTGGCGGGTGATGAAGAGATGGCTCTTAGAACCCAAATTCTGTTCTAGGAACCTATGTCAGATGTCTTACAATTGCCTGGAACTCTAACACTCCAGGGGATCTGATGTCCTCTTCTGGCTCCCAAGGAATCCTACACTCATGTGCCCATATCCCCACTCGAACACACACATAAACCTACATAATTTTTAAAATAACATATTAAAGAAAATGATTTGGCAGTTCCTCAAAAAAAGTTAGACCTGGAGTTAGTTACCACATGACCCAGAGACTCTACTACTTGGGTGGAAACTCAGGAGAACTGAAGACACCATCCACAAAGACCTTGTTCACATCTATCCCAAGGTGGAAAGCCAGTATCAGGTAATGAATATGCAGTTGTCTGTCCATAGCCAAGAGATGTGCATTCTTGGAATTACTCAGCCTACACTGGACACTATAGTCACTTCTAAAAACAAAAAAATTGTCTGTACTGAACATGTACAGACTTTATTCCCTAAATCAGTGGCTCTCAAGCTTCCTAATGCTGAGACCCTTTAATACAGTTCCTCTCAGGCTGTGGTGACCCCCAACCATAAAATTATTTTCGTTGCTACTTCACAAGTGCAATGTTGCTATTGTTATGAATCATAATGTAAATATTTTTGGAAATAGAAGTTTGCCAATGGTCATAACCTACTGGTTCAGAACCTCTGCCCTAAACCATTAACACGCAATTTCATTGTATTAGAGATAATTTGGAGTATTCAAAAGGATATGTGTTGGTGACATGCAAATATGAGGCATCTTATGTAAAGGAATTGAGCCATCACCATATTTATAACCTCAAGAGTCTTGGAACCAATTCTCCATGGATATGGAAGGAATGATTCATACTATTATCTGGCCAATACTAGAAAAGAAGTATTAATATATGTTACATGTGAATAAATCTTGAAAGTGCTATGCTAACTGACTAAGATAAAATTAAAAGTTCTAAAATTAGATCGCAGGGATGGCTGCACAACTTTGTGAAAATAGGAAAAAAACTGCCAAAGTTTTCACTTTCAGGGGACTTATTTTATGCTATGTGATTTGTACTTTGGTAAAGCTGACTACTATATAAAGTTAGCTTGATGGTCCATGGCTCTAATTCCAGCACTGGGAAGGCAGAGGCAGGCAATCTCTGAGTTCAGGCCAACCTGGTCTACAGTGTGAGTTCTAAGATAGCCAGGGCAACATAAAGAAACCCTGTCTCAAAAACAAAAAACAAACAAACAAAAAAAAACAGTCATACAGCCCAAGGAATCAAACATCTTAGATTTCTTACCAGTTCTGATCTCCACTCCTCATAACAGAAGATGCTAAACACAACTTCTCTCGGATGGACCATGGCTCTGTTGGGCCAGTACTCAGCAGCTTGTGCTCTGGGAATAAAGAAGGCTTAGAAACGATCACTGAGCTAGTTCTAAGTCCCAGAACAGCTAAAAGTCTGATATAAAATAATATCCCAGGCTGAGTGTGCAGTATTAACCCTGGTTCTCAGGAAACAGAAGCGAGCTGACTTCTGTGAGTGTGAGGCTTGCCTGGTCTGCATAGTGAGTTTCAGGCCAGCCAGGGTCAGTCACACAGTAAAACCCTATCTCAAAACAAATAAATCTCAATCTTGTTCGAACAATGTGAACCACTACCATTAATTATTTATTATCACCAAATCTTGATTTTTCACCATTCCAACGAAATATCACTACTGGCCAGCATAACTGTTTTCTGAATACTCATTTATAGAACACTTTATTTGTTGAAATGCCATGGCTTTAAGTTCTGCTCTCAAATATCGGCAGTTATTACGTTAAAAAAAAAAAAAAGTTCTTGTTAAAGACCCAGTTTTACAACTTTACTCCAAAGTGAACGCAAGCTTATTTCCCAAGATTCCCAGCGGCCACCGGCTCCTCCTGCCCGCCTCCTTCTTTGCATAAAGTTGTTTACATCTCAGCCCCTCCCCCCCCAACTGTCGGATACAAGACAGTTCGTCGGTAAAACTGAAAAAAAAAAAATGGCTGAAATACGTGAAACGCATTTCCCCCGGTGGCAGAAAACGCCCACAGTTAACAGAGCTCATTCCGATTGCTTCCCACAGCTTGGTTCGAAAAACAACTGAGCCGCAGGCCACTCGATACTGCCTTTGTTTACCCTAGAGATCTGCCCCAGAGAGCGCCTCGCAGCACACAAAGGCTTCCACGGCTGCTTCTCTCCAGCCTCGGTTTCACCCCTACACTGGTCAGACCCCGGGCAGCGGCCCTGAGCGAGCCCCCATGGAAGGCAGACGTCGGGAGACCTTGCGCTCTCTGACAACCCACTCCTCCCGCTCCAATCGTGCCTGACGAAAATGGGATGCCTAGCCTCGACTCTGCAAAGGCCTTGAACGCAAAAGCGGCTCCGATACTCACTGCCTGTCCCAGTCGCCATTTTGGCTTCGACGTCTTCAACGCAAGCGCAAGATGCGGGGAACTCTGGGAAATACGGTACCAGCGTCTGTTCGCGGTGCCCCCTGGGTAATGTGGGTGGGTCCGCCTAGGGAAATTTTTTTTTTTTTTTTAACTAACAAAGGACAAGGGACAGCAGCTGAAGCCTCAGGAAAGAAACGTCTAGATCTAGAGATAAAGAGTTAAGTGAGACGAATCCCACAACGAACAACTAAGGAAGTCCTGGCAGTTGGTAACCCGGACCCACATTAGAAGCAAAGAGGTCAACCAGAAGCAAACGGACTCCCGGCAGGCTCCGCCCCCTTGCCCTTCGCTGATTGGTTTCTTCAGGCTTCGCTTTCTGATTGGCCGGACGGGCTCAGCGCGCAATTTAAAACATTGTACGAGGAACAAAGCTGCGCCTCGTGGGCGGAGTTGTGTTCTCCGGTAGCGGGAGTCTGGGTTCTGCAGCTGGGTGGGAGCTGGGACCGGAGAAGCAGCGAGGCAGACCGTCTTCCGGTAAGTGCGATTGGGCCGGAGCCCCGGTTATCAATCAGCTCTTGCCTGCGTGGCATAGTCCGCAGAACGCCCCCACCCCGCGTCTTCCCTAATTCCCGAGTTCTCTCCGTGGTCTTTGGAGTGAGGTTGGAAAAGTACCCTAGGAATCCGAAACACACCTGCACCGGTGGGCCTGTAGACAGTCTATGTGGAGCGCTTTTAGAGCTAGGTACCTCTCGGTGCCTATTCGCCTCCAGAAATGCAGCCTCGGGCTGGCTTATTCTTCTCATTCTCTTCCCCTTGGCTGATAATAGTATAGAGTCGTGACGGAATGTCCTGAGCAAGGTCATCCCCCTCACCAGGGGATTGTTTATTAACCTACAGGTTTGCAGTTTCTGTGCGTTAGTGTTCTTCTGCCCATCTACTCTTCATTTTTTGTTTGTTTGTTTTTAGACGTTGGCTGACTCTCCTTGCCATGTCTCACGAGATCCTTTCTCCGCCAGCGGGCTTACTGTCCGATGAGGATGTTGTAGTCTCCCCCATGTTTGAATCAACAGTTGCAGATCTGAGGTCTGTGATCCGAAAGGACCTTTTGTCAGACTGCTCTGTCATCACCTCCTCTCTGGAGGACAAACAGGTAAAGGAGTTGACTGGTTTAGGGGCAGAAAGTGATATCCTCAACTTAATGGTTCTTTATACAAGGTAGTATGAAAGCCGGGCGGTGGTGGCACATGCCTTTAATCCTGGCATTCGGGAGGCAGAGGCAGGAGGATCTCTGTGAGTTCGAGGCCAAAGCTGGGCCTCGTGGCACACGCCTTTAATCCCAAAGGCAGGTGGATCTCTGAGGCCATCCTGGTTTACATAATGAGTTAGTACCAGGACAGCCAGGACTACACAGAGAGACCTTGTCTCGAAAAACCAAAACAATAAGAATGTTATTGGCATTATATTCATATTAAATAATAGGTACAAGGATGGAGGGTGTGAGAATGCATGTTTGGTATGTCCTAGGTTCAAGTCTCAGCACCACATGTAATTGTTTGCACAGAACCATGGAGGCCTTAACTAGGTAAAATGGAATTCATGTTTCAATAATCATAGCTGCCATTGCTTTAGCCTTTCTTTTGTAAGGCCAAAGATATTTCATTATAACACTATTCATGTTTGGAGCCAAGCCTTTGTTGGAGGGGGCTGCCCTATTTTTCGCAAGATGTTTAGTAGCATTTCTGGCCTCTATCCACTAGACACAATACCTTTTCACTAATTAGAATTCAATGTCCTTGGGAATACAGAGACAGTCTAAATATCTGCTGAATAAATGAAGTGGTTGCTGTTTAATTTCATTCTTCCGGTGAATCACTAAGAACTTTGTTCATGGTCTCCTAATTACTAAATGATGAAACTGGGGCTCAGATTCAGGCATGTCTATTCTTATCTGTTAGTGTTGTATGTATGTATATGTGGTGGGGTACACACATGTGGAAGTCAGGACAACTTTGTAGAGTCAGTTCTCTTCCCCTTTTTTTGGTTTTGTCTGAGTCAGGGTTTCTCTGTGTAGCCTTGGCTGTCTCTTCCATTATTATATGGAGTCCTGTGATTGAACTCAATTTGGCAGGCTTGTTTAGCAAGCTGAGCCATCTTGCTAACCCAATTTTCATTATTGTGCTTTGAAAAAAAAATATTTATCAGAGCTGGAGAGATGGCTCAGGTTTAAGAGCCCTTCCTCCACTTCCTAAGGACCCAAGTTAAATAAACAAAAATTACTTAGTTTGAAATAGTCTTTGTAGTCAAGACTGGCTTTAAATTTCTGATTCCCCATCTCTTCTTATTGCTGGGTGTTGCGATTACACACACCATGCCTGGTGCATACTGGTTTTCAAACATCAGCCGATTCTAACTCAGATCACTGGTGTAGCAAGCCAGATTTGCAGGACAGTGATGAGACAGGGAAGGGAACAAAGTTCATGTGAGCAAGAATGATTGTAGAGCCCAAGAACAGTTGCACAGGCCACTTAAGGTGGAATGGGGGTTGACAGCATGCTTTCTAGGAACTGGGATGTTTGCCCATTTAACTCTGTGTCCTGGCTGGAATCTGTTGCAGGCTCCATTTGAGGACACTGCAGAGAGAGTGAAAGTTTACCTTCGAATCAGACCCTTCTTAACTTCTGAGTTGGACCGACAGGAAGATCAGGTGAGGATTTAAGGTGGAATGGTGTAATAGAAAAGAGGGGCTCCCTAGGAATGCTTCTTTACTATGCTAACCTCCACTTTCTACCTTTTCAGGGCTGTGTCCGTATTGAGACTACAGAAACCCTTATGCTGCAAGCACCCAAAGACTCCTTTGCCTTGAAGAGCAACGAGAGGGGAATTGGTCAGGCCACCCACAAATTCACCTTTTCCCAGGTACACAATACTGGGGTATGAACATAGGCCCAACACTTTGGGGAAAATGTATTTCTTCTTTAAAGAGTTCTGCCTGAATGTGAGTTCTTCATGTGTGTATCTATAGTTTTGGGACCCTTGTTATGTGTCTCGTACTTTATGTGCATTCCCTCCCAATGATTGACGCTACAATTACTAGTACCTCTTTTCCCTGGTAAGAATACTGTGGCTCCTATCACAGTGAAGATAATTTTCCTGAAGCCTGAGAGCTAGTGAGTGGGAAGACAGGACTGGGATCTAGATCCATCTATCTCCAAACCCATGCATCACAATAGCATCCCTTAAGTATTTAATTTGGAAGAAAGGGACTAGCAGAGAGTGGCTGAGTCTTCTGCATTTAGGAACAGCTGGAATCCAGCAGGAAAACCTGCTTGAGTGGTCCCCAGAGAAGGAATACACCTACTAGTCCTACAGAGGAAACATGTGGCAGATGATGTGTGGCCTCTGACAAACAGGTCTGTTTCTAGATATTTGGGCCAGAAGTGGGACAAGCATCCTTCTTCAACCTGACGGTAAAGGAGATGGTAAAGGATGTACTCAAAGGGCAGAACTGGCTCATATACACATATGGAGTCACCAACTCGGGGAAAACCTACACAATTCAAGGTTTGTAAGCTTCAGCAGGGTTGATAACCACCATCTAATGGTTGTCTTTACCTTTTGATGCCCTGAGTGAAAGTTATTATCTCGGATATTCTTCTAGGTACTTCTAAGGATGGGGGAATCCTGCCTCGATCTCTGGCTCTCATCTTTAATAGTCTCCAAGGCCAACTTCATCCAACACCTGATCTGAAGCCCTTGCTCTCCAATGAGGTGATCTGGCTAGACGGCAAGCAGATTCGCCATGAGGAAATGAAGAAGCTGTCCTTGCTAACCGGAGGTCTCCAAGAGGTGAAGTACTCATGAAGCTGGGATAAAGGGTACAGATTTCAGGAAAGATTTGTGCCTATCTTCTCTCTGTGCCCCTTCAGGAGGAGCTGTCCACCTCCTTGAAGAAACGTGTCCATCTAGACAGTCGGATGGGTACCAGCACCAGCTCTGACAGTGGCATTGCTGGGCTCTCCTCCACCAGTCAGCTCACCAGCAGTAGCCAGCTGGATGGTATGTACCATGAGTGGGCTCTGTGCTGGGCAATGGTGGGGACCCACTCCCTACACCTGGCAGCTCTAAGGGGTATAGGTCAGAGACTGCAACCTGAACCCCATCATTTGAAGTTCCTATAGACCAAGGCAAGATGAAATGCTCCATGGTTAATGACCAAACATTGATTTCTCTCACAGAAACAAGTACTTCATGGGCACAGCCAGATACTGCCCCAGTGAGTGTGCCAGCAGACATCCGCTTCTCTGTCTGGATCTCCTTCTTTGAGATCTACAATGAATTGCTTTATGACCTGCTAGAACCACCTAGCCACCAGCGTAAGAGACAGACGCTGCGGCTGTGCGAGGATCCAAACGGCAATCCTTATGTGAAAGGTACGCAAAGACAGAGGAGGTTGGTGGAAACCTGAGGGACATGCAGGGAAACTAGAAAGGGCTAAGTGTTCCCACCTTTCTTTCTTGGCCCCAGACCTCAACTGGATTCATGTTCGAGATGTTGAGGAAGCCTGGAAGCTCTTGAAAGTGGGCCGTAAGAACCAGAGTTTTGCCAGCACCCACCTGAACCAGAACTCTAGTCGCAGGTGAGTTGTGAGAATGAACTCTTCCCTGTGCCTAGGAAGCCTTAGCCCTCCACCTGAGAGAATGTGGAAGACGTTATGGTGACTTCTCCTTTCCTTTTCAGTCACAGCATTTTCTCAATCAGAATCTTGCACCTTCAAGGAGAAGGGGATATCATGCCCAAGATCAGTGAGTAAGTTCTCCTTCCCACTTAGAAAGCTGAGCATCTTGGCCATCTGGTGTGGGGGCAAAGGGAACTTCTCAAAGGAATTAGCGTTCTCCTTCCTTGGGTACAAAAATTGGTAGGCCCTCCCCTAACAGAGTTATATAGTAAGCTATGAGTTCCTTATATCAGATCCTACACATTATTCCATCCAGACTGTCACTGTGTGACTTGGCTGGCTCAGAGCGCTGCAAAGATCAAAAGAGTGGTGAACGGCTAAAGGAAGCAGGAAACATTAACACTTCTCTGCATACCCTGGGCCGCTGTATTGCTGCCCTGCGACAGAATCAGCAGAACAGGTAAGCTGTAGGCTAGGATGGCCTGGGGCTTGGTGATTTGGTCCATTCTAGGTCACCACTGAGGATGGGCTGCAGTTGTGTTCACAATGCTATTTATCTGATTTGTGCAAGGTCAAAGCAGAACCTGATTCCTTTCCGGGACAGCAAGTTGACTCGTGTGTTCCAAGGCTTCTTCACAGGTCGAGGCCGTTCCTGCATGATTGTCAATGTGAATCCCTGTGCCTCTACCTATGATGAGACTCTTCACGTGGCCAAGTTCTCAGCCCTTGCCAGCCAGGTGTGAAACTACAGGGATGATGACTGTCCTTACTTTGGACAGGCAACCTGAAGACAGCTCTTAGGAACTAGTTAAGGAGTCCAGTAAGGTTTTTCCTTTTCCTCCTCTAGCTTGTGCACGCCCCGCCTGTGCATTTGGGAATCCCATCCCTGCATTCATTCATCAAGGAGCACAGTCTTCAGGTATCCCCGGGCTTAAAGAAAGGGGGCACAGCTGACTCGGGCCTTGATGACCATCCCGAAAATGAAGCTGACATCTCCATGTACGGCAAGGAGGTGAGACTACAAGGAGGCTCCAGGCTAGCAGCACCACAGGGTGTCCAGATGGGTTTGGGCCTTTTACTGCAGGGGGATCTTAAGATCTCTGACAGATGTGTTCTTCTTCCTAGGAGCTCCTGCAGGTGGTGGAAGCCATGAAAACACTGCTTTTAAAAGAACGCCAAGAGAAGCTGCAGCTGGAGATGCAGCTCCGTGAGGAAATTTGCAACGAGATGATAGAACAGATGCAGCAGCGGGAGCAGTGGTGCAGGTACTGGCTGGAGGGGCCCTGCTACCGGGTTCCCTGTGACGGCCGAAGGGGGGACACTGGGTCTGTCCCTCAGCTGCCCTCCGCAGAAGCCTCACTGCCCTTTTCTGTAGTGAGCATCTGGACAACCAGAAGGAACTGTTGGAGGAGATGTATGAAGAGAAGCTAAAGATCCTGAAGGAATCACTGACAAGTTTCTACCAAGAAGAGATTCAGGTGAGTTTGCCCCAACCAGTCCCAGTGCCACACAGACTAACATCACTTGGTTGTTTGAGATAAATTTTTACTTTTATTTCTTTACTGATTGATTGATTGATTTGGTTTTGCGAGGCAGGGTTTCTCTGTGTAACAGAGCCCTGGCTGTCCTGGAACTCACTCTGTAGACCAGGCTGGCCTCGAACTCAGAGATCCACCTGCCTCAGCCTCTGCCTCCTGAGTGCTGAGATTGAAGGTGTGCCAGCACACCTAGCTAAGTTTTGTAAACTCTAGTGAAAACAGGAATACATAACTCATTTTTCTTCATCTCCCTTATGCCTGTAGTTATTGAGTTTAAATTCAGGGTTCAGGGTTCAGGGCAAAGTTTTATGTTCATTTAATCTGGTCCTTTGGCATTTTTCTGACCCTGGACAGAATTGTGCTCTCTGCTTCCTTCTTAGGAACGGGATGACAAAATCGAAGAGCTAGAAACTCTCCTGCAGGAAGCCAAACAGCAGCCAGCGGCTCAGCAGTCGGGGTCTGGACTGTCCCTAGTACGGCGGTCACAAAGGCTGGCAGCTTCTGCCTCCACTCAGCAGCTCCAGGAAACTAAAGCTAAACTGGAGCAATGCAAAGCAGAGCTAAGCTCCACCACTGAAGGTGCGGAGGGAAGGCAGGAGCCCGCCGGTGCTGGTGGGTGCGGGAAGAGCTGGCATTCCAAGCTCCATCCACCCACATCTTACTCCAGAATGCACATGCCTCACTTTGTCTACTTGCTACTGTTACAGAGGTAAGCCCCAAGCTGAGAAAGCCATGTATTAATGTATTTATACTGTTTCCCTCTCTCAGAGCTGCAGAAGTATCAGCAAATGTTAGAACCACCACCGACAGCCAAGCCTTTCATCACTGATGTGGATAAGAAGTTAGAGGAGGGCCAGAAGGTATTTAACCTTTCTCTGTTTGTTATCAAAGGCCTTTATCAGGAATTTATGTGGTTTTTTTGCTTGGTTTTTTTTTTTTTTTGTGTGTGTGTGTGTGTGTAAGAGTCCTGAGGAATGGTTATTTCATTCAGAAAATCAGCCTTTGTTTTTGTTTTACATTTATTTATTTGTGTGTGGTAATGTGGAAGCCACGTGGGTTCCATGTGGATTCCTGGGATTTAACTCAGATTGTCAAGCTTTGGGGGTAAGTCATTTCACCAGCCCCCAGCCTTCCAAAGTCTGTCTTCAAATGGCTGCCGGGGCTGATTTTGGCCACAATCTGACTCCTACCCTTTCAGAATATAAGGATGCTACGGACTGAGCTTCAGAAACTAGAGCAGTCTCTCCAGTCAGCAGAACGAGCCTGCTGCCATAGCACGGGGGCAGGAAGACTTCGGCAAGCCTTGACCACCTGCGATGACATCCTTATCAAACAGGTGAGGGCAACCTTGGGACCCTCCTTTCCTGCCCACGCCAGTGTGTATGTGAGAGGGGAACTGAGAACAGAAGAGAAGATGGCTGGTGAAAAATGAAGCCAATGCCATGTTGGGGGTGGGACTCAGGGCTTTATGTATGCTAAGCAGCCATCTACCACTAAGCTGTGACATTTCCCGATGATGTGTCCTGATGGCAGAGATCTTAAAAGCTAAATAGAAATGTATATTTTTTAGACTGAACAGGGCACTTGATACCTAGGGACAGGCTGGAAGTTCTGGTATTTGTTTTAGAAGATGATAGGGTCTCACTATATAGCCCTGGCTGACTTAGAACACACCAAAAAACTGGGATTAAAAGTATGTACTACCATACCCATCAAAGATTCAAACATTTTCTCTAACTTACGTTTCTTAGAACCAGACCCTGGCTGAGCTACAGAATAACATGATGCTAGTGAAACTAGACCTTCGGAAAAAGGCAGCCTGCATCGCCGAGCAGTATCACACCGTGCTGAAACTCCAAGGCCAGGCTTCTTCTGCTAAAAAGCGGCTGGGAACAAACCAGGAAAACCAGCAACCAAATCATCAACCTCCAGGAAAGAAACCATTCCTTCGAAACTTACTTCCCCGAACACCCACCTGCCAAAGCTCAACAGACAGTGGCCCTTATACACGGATCTTGCGCTCACGGCACTCTCCTTTGCTCAGATCTCCTTTTGGCAAAAAATACTAAAGTTGTGGGGATGAAGATGCACCCTTGTTGCTCTAAGGTTGGTCAGCTGATCAGCTTATAAGTCTCTTAAGTTTCAGCACAGATATATATATGTACCCTGAACTGTGTCCAAAATTATTGTATTATAATCACCTATATAATCTTGGTTTTTTTCATGCACAAATATTATACTGAATAAAGACATTGTTTATGCTTTTATTTGGATACCAAACTTAGAAAAATATAAAAAGGGGAACAGAAACTGATATAAATACCACCTAGCCCGTTGGACCCTTGGACGGGAACAGCAATGGGAACCAGCCTAAGGTGTACTACGAAATGAGTCAAATGGCAGAAGTATTCGAAAGGTTTGGTTTTGTTGGTTGGTTGGCTGGGTTTTTCGACAGGTCTTACTATGTAGCTCTCACTGGCCTGAAACTTGCTGTGTGGATAGCTAGCCTCAAAATATCCACCTGCCTGTCTCCAAAATGCTAGGATTAAAGACATGCACCACTATGCCCAGCTAATTTTTCTTTATAAATGAAGTCTCAAAAGTAAGAGGGGAATAAAAATGTTCTGAGCACAAGGAAGGCTACATCCTAAACACAGAATGATCAATAGCATCATACAGCACAAACATAACATCGAAGTGTATTTGAAACCTACAAGAACAGAAGGATTCCCTCTACCTTGTAGATAAGGTTGAAAACAAAGTATTCTTTTGGAGATAAAAGAAAAAAACAATTGCTTCAACCATTTACTAAAAGACACCAGCATGAATTTTAATATCTGAAATACAAAAAATTACTTTCAAATGTCCATGAAGTTATCTGGTCTCCTTGTATTTTCTCATCTGGGTAGAGTTAATGCTATAGCCATTTTTGCCCTCAATAGGAGCCACAGTTCATGCTCATTGAGACTTCCACTTGAAAGGCTTTAGAAGACTTCCTTTGAAAACTGTCTCCCAAAGAACATATGGATAGCTACACTCTATTTAAATCTAGTCTCTGACATCAGAACAGAGGCCACACTCAGCAAAATGAAGGTCATTCTAGCCAGGTCTCATGGCATATGCCTGTAATCCCATCATTAGGAAGGCTGAGGCAGGAAGACCCAAGCCTAGGCTACAGAGAAACCCTGTCTTTAAAAAAAAAAAAAAAAAAAGAGGTCATTACTGTTCAACACCTGACCTTCCTACTGTCAGAAGACAAGCAGGATACTCTGACTCCCTTCCTTGCCTATCCCACTCCCAGCAGCATTAAAACCTTGTTTCTATAGCATCACTTATGGTAAAGTGCTGTAAAAGGGATTTTTGGAGGTGGGGAGACTGTGGGAAGGCCAAGACCTGCTATTCTGAAAAGAAGAGAGAAGTGCGGGCTGGCAGAGGACAGTGCCTGTCCCCGCCATATTTCTGTTTGCCTCTGAAGGTGATTCCATAGGCTGTCCCCAAGGCTGTTTCTATCTGTAAAAATGAGAAGAGCTTAGGTCCTTGGGAGAACAGATGTGGCCGTTCTTTACTGGAGGTAAGGCTTAATACTGGTCTAGCTGACTTGAGCGTCGTCAACTACGGAGTGACTGAAGAGAGGTTGAGTGGAGAAACTCTGCGGGTGGGAGTGTTGTTTGCAGACAGTGAGGCAGGGAGGAAAAAGGTGCCCGGCGTGTCGGTGCTGGCCGCCTCCCCTTGGTTTCGCAGCTGGAGGATCTGGCGGAGCAAAGCCTTACCTTCTTCCCGGGTCTGAAACAAAGTCACAGCCGTTTCAAAATGTGTTCAATGCTATGCTCAAAAGCTGGTGATTAAAATACTGTTCAGAACATTCCTTACAAATAAAGGGAGTCGTGCCCCCTTAAGAAAAAGGAACTGTTCAATGGATGACTCCCACAACTCAAAGGAAGCTTCCCTACCCACCATGTAAAGACCATACATTTTTGCCTAAAATCCAAACCTTTTAAAATCCAATACTCACATCGTTGAATGCACAACACTTCTGGGCACAAGTTGAAGCTTCATCCCACAGCTTGCACTTGAAATAGTACTGGGCCAGATAGCGGAAGGCTGTGCTCTCCTCCAAGTGCTCCACTACTTCCTAGACAAGGAAAGCAGACATGACTGAGCTGACAAGAACCCGTCAGGGACACAGCTCTCGTGCTCGGACACATACCCCACAGGAATAGATATCCTGGATGTATTTGATGTAACACTGGGCAGCCTGCTCTGACTCAGTCAACTGTTCATGAAGCCTACAAAAGAAATTGGGCTTTAAATCAAAGACCACACAGCAAGTCCGAGATTAAAAGTAAAGACGTGATTAAAACCAGAAATGACATATAAACAAGTAAATTTTAACATAACATGTTGAGACCCAGAGGATGATTAGTACCTATCAAATAGTTACTATGGCGCACGCCTTCAATCAATCCCCCAAGCACTCAGGAGGCAGAGGCAGGTGGATCTCTGTGAGTTCAAGGCCAGCCTGGGCTACAGGCAGTTTTAGGATAGCCAGGGCTACACAGAGAAACCCTGTCTTAAAAAACCAAAACCAAAATAACAAAAACAAAAAAAGCAAGCAAGGTGTCTACCAGGGCTACACAGTAGGACTCTGTCTCAAAAAGAAAGAAAAAAGACAGTTACTTAAGGGCTAGGTAAGATGTAAGATGGCTCAGCAGTTAAAGGCGCTTGAAGCAAAGCCTGATAACTGGGTTCAATTCCCAGGACCCACGTAACAGTAGGAGTCAACTAACTCCCACCCACAGATGTCCCCTGACCTCCACATGTATGTACCCACATACATATACACAAAATAAATTTTAAAAACTTCTTTAAAAAGAGTAACTAACTTAAACTGACAATTGGATAATATATCCTTGCAAAAATTTCCTGTTAATACTGGTAAGAATGAAAACTATAGCAAATAACCGACCCCTTCGGAGCGACTCTCCCCTGCACATAGGCCCTGATGCATGCTAGGCAAGTCCTCAACCACTGAACTACACTTCTAGTCTGTGCACGTCTTTTTCAACTCTTTTCACCTCTTGCCTAGTAGGACATCTATTTCCAATTCAAGGTGAAGTGGAACTCTCTAGAGTCAAAGGCTAAAGCCAGAATATAACTTGGAGCCTAGCATGTATAAGGTCCTGGGTTCATCTACAACACAGAAATAAGAAAAGAGTGGTGCTCGATTGCAAAACCAGTATTTCCACACCCATGCCCATATTCATATATGACAGCACCTCAGGAAAAGCAACCCCAGTATCAGAAACAGTCACTCACTTCGCCAGCTTCACGAGAGCCATTTTCTCCACATCTCCCACAGCATATGCTCTCCAATAACACTGTCAAAGAATAAACCAGTCACTTCTGACTACTGCCCATGTGCAACAACGATCACATCAACGCTAAGGCCACGCAAGCCTTCTAGAAATGCAGGCTTGCACGATACAGAGCATTTTCCCTAACTATGATAGGTCCACGCTACATGTAGACATCCACACTGATAATCTCAGCCTACAGTTCTTTTATCCTATGCACCTACAAAATATTCAGACATTGCTATACACATAGATCAGAATAAGGGGTGGGGGTGGGGGTGGAAATCACAGCATGTACAGCCCAACCTCCTCCTAAACAGCAGGTTTCTGCTCAAATTCTCCAGGCCGAAATTTGAGGTACCTTTTTGGCTTCCACTAGTTGATTGAGTTTCTCATAACATTCTCCTAAGGCAACCAGCATACGGGAATCATTGGGACTATGAAAAAGAATAACAAATGGTTAGAGCAAAGACTTCACCAATACCCCAAGTCCTCAATTGAAAGATTAGTCTCTACTATTTCCAATCAATGCAAGGACTGTTCTTCAATCAATATTTCATTTAATTACATTACTTTGTGTTCATAATTATCCTATACACCCACTAGAAGAGACACTAAGTAAAAAGGACTAGACCACACCCTTTAGGTCTGAGAGAGATGGTATCAGACGGACCCTTCCCACATAGTCAAGAAACCAACTTACCGTAACTGGTGGGCCCGCCTATAGTAATAAAGGCAATAAAACGGCATCTTAAGAATTTCATAGGTCTGCCCAAGGCCATACCAAGCTCTGTAATCTCTCTTGTTGACCTCAATGGCATGTCTAAAAAAGACAAAACAGACAGAAACATGGCAAAAGAATTAAGGTTAGCAACACTAGGCTCAACAGAGGCTCCTGCTAACACAGCAGTCTGTTCCACTCACCCCTCCCAACCCAACTAGACGCTTACCGGTAAGCTTGGATAGCAGCAGATGTGTTTTTCATTTCCATGTACTCATGCCCCATCAATGTCCAGGCCCCGAGATACCTAGGATTCAACTTTAGGGCTCTCTGGAAATATAAGGCTGCTTTCTCATGCTGGGAGCGTAAGCTATAATAATTGCCTGATTAAAAAAAAAAAAAAAAGATTCACAGTAAACACACAAACATATAAATAAAAATCAAGGGGCAGGAGAGATGGCTTGGTAGTTTAAGAACACTGGCTGCTCTGCCAGAGGACCCGGGTTCAAGTCCTAGCACCTACATGGCAGCTCACATCCATCTGACACCCTCTTCTGGCCTCCTTTGTACCAGACACATACATACATATACATATATATATATATATGTATATATATATATACAGGCAAACACTAATAAACAAATAAAACCCTTAAAAATAAATAAAAAGAAACATAAAAAATCAAAACCTGTTCCCTTCATTTCCTTATCTCATGTAGATAAGGCATTTATATACATTTTTGTAATATAAGAATGTTCTACAGCATGCTTTAGATTTGTGATTTCTATTTATTTGTTTATTTATTTTTGTTTTTTTAAGACAAGGTTTCTCTTTGTAGCCCTGGCTGTCCTTGAACTCTCTCTGTAGACCAGGCTGTCCTCAAACTCGGAGATCCACCTGTCTCTGTCTCCCCTCAGTGTTAGGATTAAAGGTGTGCGCCACCACACCTAGCTGGATTATTTTGTTTTGTTTTGTTTTCTGTTTTTTGAGACAGGGTTTCTCTGTGTAGCTTTGGAGCCTGTCCTGGATCTCGCTCTGTAGACCAGGCTGGCCTCGAAATCAGAGATCCACCTGCCTCTGCCTCCCGAGTGCTGGGATTAAAGGTGTGTGCCACCACCGCCCGGTGGCCTGGCTGGATTTTTGTTTGTTTAGATTAGTGGTTCTAAACTATATTATTTTAAACCGACACTTCAAAGGAATTTCTCAAAAGGATTACAAAGGTAGAGCTCTGAGCTTCTTTTTTGTTTTTTTTTTTTTTTTGTTTTTTTTTTTTTTTTTGTTTTTTCGAGACAGGGTTTCTCTGTGTAGCTTTGCGCCTTTTCCTGGAACTCACTTGGTAGCCCAGGCTGGCCTCGAACTCACAGAGATTCGCCTGGCTCTGCCTCCCGAGTGCTGGGATTAAAGGCGTGCGCCACCACCGCCCGGCTGAGCTCTGAGCTTCTTAACCAAGATCACAGCATTCTACTACAACTGTTTGTGAAAGGATAAGTTAATTTAGGATGCTGCAAAACCTACCTGTCTTACCATGAGCCATGAATGGATAAGAAAAATACGGTAGGCTGGGCAGTGGTGGCGCATGCCTTTAATCCCAGCACTTGGGAGTCAGAAGCAGGTAGATCTGAGTTCAAGGCCAGGCAGGACTGCTATACAAGAGAAACCCTGTCTTGAAAAAAATCCAAAAAAAGGGGGCTGAGGAGATGGCTCAGAGGTTAAGAACACTGACTGTTCTTCCAGAGGTCCTGAGTTCAATCCCCAGCACCCATATGGTGGCTCACAACCATCTGTAATGAGATCTGGATCCCTCTTCTGGCCTGCAGGGATACATGCGAATATATATAACAAATATATAAATCTTTAAAAAAAACCAAAAGAAGCCAGATGGTGGCGCACGCCTTTAATCCCAGCACTCGGGAGGCAGAGGCAGGTGGATCTTTGTGAGTTCGAGGCCAGCCTGGTCTACAGAGCGAGATCCAGGAAAAGGCACAAAGCTACACAGAGAAACCCTGTCTCAAAAAACCAAAAAAAAAAAAAAAAAAAAAAAAAAATCAAAAGAAAGAAACAAACAAACATATTTAAATATTTTAGATCCAAACAATGGGACCCAATCCAGGAAGAAAAAGAACTACTTTAGATGCTACATTTGTAAGTCTTTTTTTTTTTTTTGGTTTTTCTAGACAGGGTTTCTCTGTGTAGCTTTGGTGCCTGTCCTAGATTTTGCTCTGTAGACCAGGCTGGCCTCGAACTCACAGAGATCCGCCTGGCTCTGCCTCCCAGAGTGCTGGAATTAAAGGCGTGCACCACTGCCCAGCTCCATTTGTAAGTCTTTTTTTTTTTTTTTTTTTTTTTTAAGGTTTATTTATTTATTATGTATACAGAAGAGGGCGCCAGATCTCTTTACAGATGGTTGTGAGCCACCATGTGGGTGCTGGGAATTGAACTCAGGACCTCTGGAAGAGCAGTCGGTGCTCTTAAACTCTGAGTCATCTCTCCAGCCCTACATTTGTAAGTCTTAAAAGCGTGCAGGATGAATGGGTGGCAAATGCCTTAAATCCTAGCGTTTGGAAGGGAAAGGCAGGCAGAGCTCTGAGTTTGAGGCCACTCTGGTCTACAGAGTAAGCTCTAGGCAGCCAAAAGAAAAAAGAAAGGAAAGAAGGAAGAAAGAAAGAAGGAAGGAAAGAGGGAGGGAGGGAGGAACAGAGAAAAATGCTAAAAGAAATCAAGCAATAAGATTTCATTAGCATTAAATAGTATTCATTTACATAAAATTCCTATAAGAGGCAAAATTATGAACTAGACAGATAACCAGTGGCCTGGGGCAGGGAAAGGTATTGACTGAAAACAAATAAAAACTCTTGTGCTAATGGAGTCAGAGTGTAATGTTGCTGGCAGATTAAAGCAGGTAAATCCGGGGCTGGAGAGATGGCTCAGCAGTTAAGAGCAATGACTGCTCTTCCAGAGGTCCTGAGTTCAATTCCCAGCACCCACATGGCAGCTCACAACTCTCTGTAACTCCAGGATCCAACACCCTCACAAATACATACAGTCAAAAAAAAAAAAAAAAAAAAAAAAAAAAAAAAGCAGGTACATCCTGTGGCTTGTTAACCTTTCCAACAAAGGTTTTCTTCTCTTAAAGAACACCTAGAGCTGTCCTGAGACTTGAAGGGCTGTCTTTTCTTTTTTTTTTTTTTTTTTTTTTTGGTTTTTCGAGACAGGGTTTCTCTGTGTAGCTTTGCGCCTTTCCTGGAACTCGCTTTGGAGACCAGGCTGGCCTCGAACTCACAGAGATCCGCCTGGCTCTGCCTCCCGAGTGCTGGGATTAAAGGCGTGCGCCACCACCGCCCGGCTTGTCTTTTCTTTTTTTAACTGTATTTATTTTTTCATTTATCTGTGCTGGAGAATGAATTTGGGGCCTAGGCAAGCACTCTACCGTTGACCCTCCAGTCCCCCCCGAAGGGCTTTCATAACATACAGCTGAATGAGAAAAATAAAAGGCACAGGTGAGAATATCATCTGGACTACTTTTACAAAGCAAATAACCATCACATCTGACGCGTGTATATTTTTATATCAGCGATTGTCGACCTGTGGGTTGTGGGCCCTTGGGGTTCAAATGATCTTTTCACAGGGGTCGCCTAGGACCATCGGAAAACACAAACATTTACATTACAATTCATGACAGTAGCAAAATTATAGTTATGAAGTAGCAACAAAAATAATTTTAGCCGGGCGGTGGTGGCGCACGCCTTTAATCCCAGCACTCGGGAGGCAGAGCCAGGCAGATCTGTGAGTTCGAGGCCAGCCTGGACTACCAAATGAGTTCCAGGAAAGGCGCAAAGCTACACAGAGAAACCCTGTCTCGAAAAACCAAAAAAAAAAAAAAAAAATAATAATAATTTTAGGGTTGGGGTCACCCCAACATGAGGAACTGTATTAAAGGGTCACAGCACTAGAAAGGCCGAGAACCACTGTTTTATATGGAATGAGAACATACTCTGGGAGACACAGTGAGTTCCATTCCAGCCTAGGCTATAGGTTGAAACGTTACCTCAAAAATCAAAATAAAATTTCCCTTAGGTATAAATTATACATACACAAATAAGTCAGCCAAAACATACACTGCAGTATGTATTATACTAATTTTCAGAGAACATGAGATACTGTTAAGTAAGATAATGAAAATCTGAAGTAATTACATAGAAGATTTCATTTTGGTAAAACAACAAACAGTAACAAAAATTTCCCATATGTTTTTAAAATAGTTTTAGTTTATTTTATGAGAAATCAATTATATTCACCGTTTGTACTCTATGTCTGTTATTTAAGTTCAAACTCAACTTCATGTTCACCTTGAAGAAAGCAACAGGGTTGCTCTACAAAAATATCTTTGCCCTAGGCAAGATGGCTCACGCCTTTAATCCCGGTACTTAGGAGGCAGAGGCAGGAGGATAGGTATGAGTTCTAGGTCAGCCTGGTCTACGTAGTCAGTTCCAGGAAAGTGGGGGCTTTGGAGATAGACTATGTCATTTAAGAAACAAAACAGAGCCGGGCAGTGGTGGCGCACACCTTTAATCCCAGCACTCGGGAGGCAGAGGCAGGTGGATCTCTGTGAGTTCGAGGCCAGCCTGGGCTACAAAGTGAGTTCTAGGACAGGCACCAAAGCTACACAGAGAAACCCTGTCTCAGAGGAAAAAAAAAAAAAAGAAAAGAAAGAAACAAAACAGAACAAAGAGTGCACCTGCACCTGCAATCTCAATGCTTGAGAGCAGCAGGAGGCTAAGGTCACCCTCAGCCACAGCGTGAATTGTAGATATGAGATCACGTCTCAAAAACAACAAACCAAAATACTGGCTGGGTGGGGTAGCACCAGACTGCAGTCTTGGCCTTTGGGAGGTGATGGAAGAATCAGCAGTTCAAGGTCATCCTCCATTGGTTACATTTCAAGCTGAAAACTGAGAGAAGTGTCTCAAAAACACAGAAGCAAGCTGAACAGAGTTGGAAAGGTGCCTCAGCAGCTAAGGGTGTATACTGCCCTTGCAGGGGAGCTGGGTTTGATTCTTGGCTCCTGTGTCATGAGACCCCAGAGGGATCTGACACCTCTAGCCTCTGTGGGCACCTGTACTCACAGGCCAAGGTGTAAGCACAAACAAGTTTTTAAAATAAAAATTTAAGGTGGACAATGGTGACACATGCCTTTAATCCCAGCACTTGGAAGGCAGAGGCAGGCGGATATCAGTGAGTTTGAGGCCAACCTGGTCTACAGAGCAAGTTCTGAACAGCCAGGACTGTTACACAGAGAAACCCTGTCTTGAAAAAGAAAAAAAAAACGTCAAAAGCAAGTCAGCCATGGAAGCTCATATCAATAACCTAATACTTGGGAGTCTAGAGCAGAAGAACCACCATGAGTTAGAAGCCAGGAGGGCCTAAAGGGCTCTAGGTCATTCTGGGCTAGGGTGAGACACTCTCTCAAAATATCTCTAAGATGGGTCTGAGTGTAGCTCATCAGTTCAGAGCATGGGCTACTGTTCCAAAGGACCAGGGTTCATTTTCCAGCACCCATATGGCTGCTCACAACTACCTGTAACTCCAGTTCCAGGGGACCAAGCTCTTTTCTGGCCTCCAGGAACACCAGGTATACACACAGTACACAGACATACACGCAAGCAAATACACACATAAAATTTAAAATTAAAAACAGAAAAAAGAAAAAACAAAACAAAACAGCCAGGTGTTGGTGGCGCACGCCTTTAATCCCAGCACTTGGGAGGCAGAGGCAGGTGGATCTCTGTGAGTTCAAGGCAGCCCTGTTTATAGAGCAAGATCCAGGACAGCCAGGGCTACACAGAGAAACCTCATCTTGAAAAACCAAAAAAAAAAAAAAAAGAAAAAATCCTCTAAGATGGCTCAGAGGTTAAAGGAACTTGCTACCAGGCCTGAGAACCTGCACGCGATCCCTGGGACCCACATGGTACAACTTCTTCAAGTTGTCCTCAGACCACTCCACATGTGCACCTTGGCACGCACATCTTGGTACATACATGCATGCACACACAGACACACACACACACAAATAAATGAAGAAATACAGTAAAAGTAATCATAAAAATAGGCCTAGCGAGATGAGTTTTAACCAGATAGTCTATATAACTGTTTGAGCTTAGGTTCAGAAACAGATCCTATCTCAAAAAAATCAAGGTAGAGCCAAGTGTGGTAGCTCTGTCTTGACCTTTAATCCCAACATCCAGGAAGAAAATAAATACAGGCTATCTTTGTGAGTTCAAGACCAGCCTGGTCTACACAGCAAGTTCCAGAGCTATATATAGAGACTTTGTCTCAAAAAGAAAAGTATGGTGATATTTCATTGGTACTGAAATGTGATTTTATTTGTATGTTAATAAATAAAGTTGCCTGGGGGTCAGAGCTAATAGCAAGCCATAGCAGAAGCTGGGCAGTGGTGGTGCACACCTTTAATCCAGATCACATGACAGGCAGATCTCTGTGTGTAAAGAATACAGCCAGCATGGAGACACACGCCTTTAATCTCAATACCAACCATAGAAGACCTGGAGGTCTGTACAGACAGGCAGTGACGAGGAGGTCATGTGGTTGGGTATACAACCAATGAGAAGGCAGAACAGAAAGTCAATAAAAAGACAGATACACAGGAAGTAGGTCTCTTGCTGAGGGGAAGGACAGCGGCAGGAAGGGTAAGAAGGCGGTTTTAAGTCTCAGCTCTTACTACTGCTCTGACCTCTTGGGCTTTTAACTCTGCATTTGGCTCTGTGTTTCTTATTTAATAAGACTGTTCATCTACAGAAAAGAGATAGATTAAAAGAAACAAAAGTGGCTAACTCTCACCAATTACACAGCATGTTTCTACTCGGTATTTATCAATTTCACAGAGGTTATGGGCCAGATAACTCAATTCAGACTTCATGCTCTGGGGAGAAAAAAGAGGAAGACCACATGAGTCCAATAAAGCACCCCGAAGTTGTTTTTTCTTTAGCTAATAACATGATATCTAATCCAGGAGCTTCATCCAGATCAATCAAGAGAAACAAATTACCCGGACATAAAGAAGATTGGAGAATGTGTCCATATTTTCAATCCTGTAAGGATCTTGTTTCCTCAGCTCATTAAAAATAGAAAGGGCTTTGTCGATATCTGCAAAAAGAAAGCAGAGTTCAAACCTCAACTAACTGCACCCCAAGTCTGCCAGCATTCCAGCATCTTATTCACCCACCTCTGATATTGTGATAGGCAACTGCGATCTGGGAAACGATGTATGAGCTCTTGGAAAAGCCCACATCAATGAGATGCTGATACTTCTGCAGGGCCTCCTCTATCAGCTGCAATTCTGTGTATATATGAGCCAGGAAGAATTCTTTCATCCAGGTGTCGGGTAAAGACAGGAACTTCAGCTAGCACCCAGAGAGAGGGACACATTTAGTATAATCTGGTCTTTCTCCCAAAACAACACCAAAAAAAGAGCATTACTTTCTAAAAGGATTCATCACTAAAATTTTATTAGAACACCTACAAATGAATACAGGGTAGTATCACTGAATTTGATTTATAAGCATAATTAGGAGAGAATGGCCCAGTAGGATAGACTTTAAAAAAAACAAAACACAAAACAAATAAAAGGCACAAAACTTCAGACTAAGTGGAATCTAAGTAGAGCAGAGAGAAGAGAAAAAAGCCAGCATTCCAGGAAAGGGCAATAATGAAGGTACAGTGTGGAAAACAAGAAAACCAGCTTTGTGTCAAAAAAGTGGATCCCATCACACACCAGAAAACAAGATACGGTCAGAAACAACTGCGAATTTCTGCCACCAGGCCGGGCGGTGGTGGCGCATGCCTTTAGTCCCAGCACTCAGGAGGCGGAACTAGTGGATCTCTGAGTTCAAGGCCAGCCTGGTCTACAGAGCAAGATCCAGGACAGGCACCGAATTATACAGAGAAACCCTGTCTCAAAAAACAAAAAACAAAAAATTTCTGCCACCAAAGTGTTTTAAGACGGTTCCTTCATGTAATCCCAGCACTCAGGAGGCTGAGACAGAAAGATGGCCATGAAGTTGATATCAGTCTGGTCGTCACAGAGAGGACATCTTTCAAAAAAAATAAAAAAGAGCTATGCATGGTGGTGCACATTTTTAATCCCAGCAGTCGGGAGGCAGAGGCAGGAGGATCTTTGTGAGTTCAAAGCCAGCCTGGACTACACATCAAGTTCCAGGACCCAGACCTACAGAAACACCCTGTCTCCTCCTTGGGAGGTAAGGCAAGAGGATCTCTGTGATAGTCTGTTCTACATGGAGAGTTCCAGGTCAGCAACGACAACATAAAGAGATCACTCTGGTGGGGGGTGGGGGTGGGGGGTGGATGCTCTTGCAGCAGACCTGGGTTCAATCCCCAGTACCCACAGTGTGGCTCATAACTGCCTGTAATTCCAGAGATTCTGATGCCTTCTTTTGACTTCCTTGGGCACCATGCACACATATGGTGCACATACATTCATACAGGCAAACACTTGTACACATAAAACTAAATAAGTCTTTTGAATTTAAAAATTTAAAAATTTAAAAAAAAAAAAAAAAAGGCCGGGCAGTGGTGGCGCACGCCTTTAATCCCAGCACTCGGGAGGCAGAGCCAGGAGGATCTCTGTGAGTTCGAGGCCAGCCTAGGCTACAAAGTGAGTTCCAGGAAAGGCGCAAAGCTACACAGAGAAACCCTGTCTCAAAAAACCAAAAAAAAAAAAAAGATCTCAGGGCAGATCCTAATGGCACATACCTTTAATTTCTAGCACTTGGGAGACAGAGGCAGCCTGGTCTACACAGAGTTTCAGGATAGCCAGGGCTACATAGAGAGCCTCTTTCTCAAACAAACAAAAGCCAGGCATGACAGTACACACCTATACTCCCAGGGAGGGCAGTACGAGGATACGAGGAGGCAGAAGACGCACAGGTTAAATAAAGCCTAGGCCACCTCGCCAGCTCCGAAACAAAACAGTGAAAGGGCTGGGGACGCAGCAAGGAGCCGGCTACAAACCAAGCGGACAGTGGAGCGCCCCCACGAGACAGACCACCGCAGATTGCAAAGCTCCCACGGAGCCTATGTCCATTTACCATCTCTTTGTCTGTGATGAGGTTACACAGCTCCAACCAGGCTCCCCAGTGCAAAGGCAAAACGTGAGTAGCCTCTACAAACACATCAATGGCCTCCTTCACCAAGTCCAGTTTCCGAAGCACCACCCCGTACCTGGGAAAGAAAGTCACAGCCACCAGGGAGGTTAGTGCCTGAGAACGTCCCCTCTACGCAAGGGGGCAGAGGTGCTGTGGAAAGCGTCAAACCCCAGGAACACTCACAGGTAAAGGCCAAACCCATCGAGTCCCCGGGCCTGGTGTTTCCTGCTGAGCTCCACTCTCAGCTCTCTGAGGGCTTCGTTCTTCACCTGTCCTTTTTCTAGGGGTCCTAGGAGAGAAAAGACGCTCGTTGTCATCCTCAGACACACACACATATTTCTGTTATCAGCAAACAAAATTCTAGCTGCAACCCCTCCTACCATCCATTTACTCTCGATGATGCTGGTGTGCAGCCCTAGGTTATCAATGTTTACCAATCACAAGTTTCAATTACAACGGAATTGCCCACCGGAGGTTGCAGAAAACAAGCATGGGTTAAGGGAACCAAAGAAGCCACCAGATCGATTCCCACAGCAACCCTGAGGTGGAGCTGGGTGGACACCCAGGAAGCTGAGATAAGCCATGAGCTCTCCATTCTTCATGGGTCATGCAGTCTACTTATGGTACCTGTATGGCCTGTATGCATCTAAGTGTGCAGACCTGCTTTTTAGGACAAAAAGTTGGACAGAAAAAAAAAAAAAAAACATACCTAGGCTATCAACTGTTTCGTCATCCTTCTTTTTCTCTCCAGACTGTAAGAGAGGAGGGAAAAAAATTAACAAATGGGTTTTTTTTTTTTTCAGCTTATTCTAAAATGCTTCCTAAACTCAGCAGCCTGATTCTATCTACAGGGCTAACTAAAGTCTACGCAAAATAACACCCACCTTCTAAACAACCATCATTCAGGTGTTCCCACTGGCTAAATATGGGGTACACTGAGCACCGAAGACTTAAATATAGTAATGAATCATAGATCGCTAAAAATATGAGAATCTGTGAGTCCATGTTGATGCTAAGCAGAGAAATAAATGTGGAAGGGGATGGCGGCTCCACCGGAAGCACAATGCCTTGTGTGGATTAGTGTGCAAAGAATGCTAGAGTGGAAACAACAATTTCAAATTATCAGGGAAAGGTGTTTTGGGCAGGAAAAAGTCTGTTTTAGGGGAAAATCAGCAACGGACATTGGGGCTGAAGCTGTAGCTCTGTTAAGAGTGTCTGCCCACCATGAATGTAGCAGCTTAGTATGCTGGTCGGTGTATGGATAACAGAACAAAAAATGGGTAAGACACATCAGACATGCCATAGGAAGATTTTGTTTGTTTGGTTGGTTTTTTGGTTTTTCGAGACAGAGTTTCTCGGTGTAGCTCTGGCTATTCTGGAACTCCCTATGTGGACCAGGCTGGCCTTGAACTCACAGAGATCTGCCTGCCTCTGCCTCCTGAGTGCCAGCATTAAAGGCCGGTGCACCACCACCACCACCTGGCAAATGTTCTGTTTTTTAAAAAGGAGTCAAACTGAGCATGGTGGTGCATGCCTTCATTCTCAGCATTTGGGAGACAGAGGCAGGCCTGGTCTACAGAGAGAGTTCCAAGATGACCAAGGACACACAGAGAAACCCAGTCTTGGAATGGAAAAAGAAAGAAAGAAAGAACTCAAGAAAAGCCACATGTGGTAGTGCATGCCTGTAACCCTGGCACTCTGCAGATCTATCCACAGGAGGACAATGGTTCCAGGGCAGCCTGGGCTAGGGTACATAGTAAGACAGTATCCAAAACAGAGTTATAAACACAATATTAATTTTACTCACATTGTCACTTATTTATTTAGGCTTTCTGAGAAAGGTTCTATTATAGCCATAGCTGACCTAAAACTGTCAATACAGACCAGGCAGTCTTTAAACTAGAAGAAATTCTCCTGCCTCTGCCTTTTGAGTGCTAGGATTACAGGTGTATGCTGCCATACAAGGCTGCACTGTCCTTTATATTAAAAACTGTTAACAGCCATGAAACAAAGTAATAAATACACTACAAATAAGTGATAAATGAGTTCATAAAACCTTAAATCAACTGAGACTTTTTAACTCAATTCTGGTTTTTTTGGGGGGTGGGGAGAGGGTTTCCTTTATTTTATTTATTTATCTGTTTGTTGGCTTGTTTATTTATTTATTGAGACAGGACTATACTATGCAGACCCAACTAGTTTCAAACTCTTACTCCTTCTGCCTTGGCATCCCAAGCATTTGGATTCTAAGTGTACATCACCATGTCCCGCTTCCAGGCCTTTGTTGAGTTAGGACCTCTACCACTACCTGGCCTGGAACTCACTATGTCACTGTGCAGACCAAGATGGCCTCAAACCTGCTGGGATCCTTAACTCTCTGCATCTACAGTATGGAGATTATAGACACCACCACATGCTGCCAATTCTTATATCAGTAGCAATTCATACAGATCCTTCCATAACCCAAAAAAAGAGTCATCCTGTTGTTAATCATCCTACCTACATTTTCTTATGTTGCCATTTCTTTAAATTTTGCTACACTCCTCTTTTTTCTTTCTTTCTTTTTTTTTTTTTAAGACTTTGTGTAGCCCTAGTCTGCTAGAAATTCACTATGTAGGCCAGGCTAGCCTTGAATTCACAAAGATCCACCTGGTTCTGCCTCCTGAGTGCTAGAATTAAAGGCCTGCACTACCAGGCCTGGCATCATTTTTTTTATTATCATTACTGCAATAGAGTTATTATTAAGTACATTCACTTGGTGACCCACTACCTAGCTATTGAACGTTTTCAAGGCTGCAGAAATGATTCAGCAGTCAAGAGCAATGACTGCTCTTCCAGATGGCCCAGATCAAATCCCAGTACCCACAAAGCAGCTCATGACCATCTGTAACTCCTGCTTCAGGAAATCCAATGCCCTCTTCAGGTCTCTGCTGGTACCAGGCCCACCCATGATACACATACACACATGCAGGTAAAACATTCACATATATAATTTCTTTTTAATTAAAAATTTTCCTCCTGCCAGGCGGTGGTGGCGCACACCTTTAATCCCAGCACTCAGGAGAGGCAGAGCCAGGCGGATCTCTGTGAGTTCGAGGCCAGCCTGGTCTACAAAGCAAGTTCCAGGATAGGCTCCAAAAGCTACATAGAAAAACCCTGTCTCGAAAAACAAACAAACAAACAAACAAAAATTTCCTCTTGGTTCCAAATACAGACACTTCAATGAAGGCAGAGTAACATCTTAAAGTGACCTTACCAGGTATCTGGAATACATATACAGGAAATAGGCTTTCTTGCTATTGCAGCCATGCAGGAAATGTGCTGCCCGATCATACTCTTTAACATCAAAGTAGGCCTTAGCCAGGGTGTAAGCGTCCACATCCTGGGCATCCTCCTACAAGAAACAAGGTTATGTGAGTGGTTAGGACTAAGACAGCCAAAGTTTACCATGAAAAGCATATTCATTAATTTCAAGATACAGGAAAATAATTATTTCTCCTTCCCCCAAATGTGTAAATACATGCATTTATGTAGTATTTTTTAATAAATGTATCACTTGTAAAGCCAAAGAATTTTTTTTCTAAAGTTTCTTTTTTTTTTTTTTTCAAAATAAAAAGTGGGGCCTGGCATGGTGCTACACACCCTTGATCCCAGCCATTGGGAGGCAAAGGCAGGCAGATCTCTGTGAGTTCAAACGAAGCCTGGGCTACAGAGTAAGACTCAGGGCAGCCAGTGCTATATAATGAGACTCTGTCTCAAATACAAAACAAAACAAAGCTGGGGTCTGGGGAGATGGTTCAACGAGTAAAGTGCCTGCCACCCCCACATAAAAACTAGATACAGCAGCCTACATGGGAACCCCGGTGCATGCCTACAATCCCAACACTTGGGGGTAGAAGCAGGAGGATGAAGTCAAGGCTATCCTCAGCTTTACAGCAAGTCTGAAACCAGCCTGGGCACCAAGCGGTCCTGTGTCAAAAGAAAGAGAAGAGGGGAGGAGAGTCAGAAGGGGAAAAAAGAAAGGGGAAAGGCAGAGAGAGAAGATGGCATCTTGAACGGAGAAGAAAAGGTCATCCTCATTACTATAGTGTTGAATATCCCTGCCTGTCATACACAAGTCTGGTTTGCTGGGGCCAGCAAGGTGACTCAGAAGATTAAGAACACTTGCCACCAAGCCCGAAAACCTGAGTCAATTCCCAGGACCCATATAGCAGAAGGAGAACGATCTCCGGCATACTGTGGAATAATCCTTCTGTACACTGTGTGAATATATGTCGCTATGATTGGCTTAATAAATAACCTGACTGGCCAATGACAGGATAAAGTTAAGTGGGAAAGCCAAACTGAGAATGATGGGATGAGGAAGGGTGGAGTCAGAGGAGTCGCCAGCCAGATGAAGAACAAGTTGGACACACAAAATAGGACAGAGATAAAAGTCACAAGCCGCCGGGCGGTGGTGGCGCACGCCTTTAATCCCAGCACTCGGGAGGCAGAGCCAGGCGGATCTCTGTGAGTTCGAGGCCAGCCTGGACTACCAAGTGAGTTCCAGGAAAGGCGCAAAGCTACACAGAGAAACCCTGTCTCGAAAAACCAAAAAAAAAAAAAAAAAAAAAAAAAAAAAAAAAAAAAAAAAAAAAAGTCACAAGCCTCAGGACAGCACATGGATTAACAGAAATGGGTTAAGTTGTAAGTGCTAGTTAGTAACAAGCCTGAGCTATTGACAGAGCATTTACAATTTGTATTAAGCCTCTGAGTGATTATTTGAGAGAGTGGGACAGGAAAACTCCATCTACACCTGCAGGCTATCTTCTGACCTCAACATATGTGCCATGGCATGCATGCACACACATACATATACAGTAAGTAAATAAAATTTTACGTGAATTGTGATGAAATTCATCCAGGACAGGTATGGTGCCTATAATCTCAGCACTCAGTAGGCAGAGGAAAGGGGATCTTTAAAAACCCAAGGCCAATCTGGTGTACACACTAAGTCTGAGACTAGCAAACACTACCAAAAAATTATGTAAAACTGCATAAACATACACATATAAGATAATATTCCTAACTCTTCATGCACCTGTGTAACTCAGAAAGTTTTACTACTTGGGACTATACAGCCTTTAAATTTGTATTTTTTGGAGTCAGCAATGACTCAATGTCACCAAGCCTGAAAATCTGAATTTGATACCCAGGACCCACATGGTAGGAGGAGAAAACTAACTCCCAAAAGTCATCTTCTGATCACCACATGGCATGGTAGTGCACACCTTTGATCCCAGCACTCAAAAGGCAGAGGCAGGCAGAGCTCTGTGAGCTTAAGGCCAGCCTGGTCTACATAACAAGTTCAGGCCAGCCAGGGTGTCTTAGGGTTACTGTTGCTATAATGAAACACCATGACCAAAGCAACTTGGGAAAGAAAAGGTTTATTTCACTCACAGTTCCGTATCATCATCAAAAGCAGTGAGGGCAGGAACTCACACAGGGCAGGAACTTGGAGGCAGGAGCTGATGTAGAGGCCATGGAGGGGTGCTGCTTACTGTCTTGTTCCTCATGGCTTGCTCATCATGCTTCCTTATAAAACCCAAACCACCAGCCCAGAGTTGGTCCCACCCACAATCGACTGGGCTCTCACATCAATCACTAATTAAGAAAATACATTACAAGCAAGGAGGGAGGCCTGGAGGTGGTGGCGCACGCCTTTAGTCCCAGCACTTGGGAGGCAGAGGCAGAGGCAGGTGGCTCTCTCTGAATTCGAGGCCAGCCTGGTCTTCAAAGAGAAACCCTGTCTCTGAAAAAAAAAAAGAAAGAAAGAAAAAGAAAAAGAAGAAAAGAAAAGAAAGGAAGGAAGGGAGGGAGGGAGGGAGGGAGGGAGGGAGAAAAATGCCTTACAGTTGGATCTTATGGAGGCATTTTCTCAACTGAGGTTCCCTCCTTTCAGATAACTCTAGCTTGTGTCAAGTTGACATAAAACTATCCAGCACACAAGGCTACATAATGAGACCCTGTCTCAAAAAATAAATAAGTAAAAGTAAACACCCAGAATGTTCTGCTCAAAGTTAGAGACAATGTAATTCAGAGGTATTTGGTTTTAAAATGAAAGTTTCATCCAGGCCTCATGGCATAGGCCTTTAATTTGAGCTACTCAGAAAGGTGAAGCAGGAAGATGGCAAATTTAAGCCCTGCCTGGGTCCCTGAGTGAGACTCCCATCTCAAAACGAAGAGTAGGGCTGGAGAGATGGCTCAATAGTTAAGCGGACTGGCTACTCTTGCAGAGGACCTGGGTCTGGTTCCTAGCACCCACAAGGCAGCATACAGGGAATCTGACACCATCTGCTGGCTTCCATAAGCACCAGGCACAAATGTGCTGCACATGCACACATGCAGACACACACCCATACACAGAAAATGAAAACAAATCTTTTTTTTTTTTTTTTTTTTAGTAAGAAGAGAGCTGCCAATATAAAATATAGCTCAGTGTTAGAGTGCTTGCTTAGCACAGGTCCTAGGTTCAGTACCTAAAAGAAAACCAAACCAAACACCTGAAGTTTTTTAATGTTTACTCTATAAATTTTAGATCAAGGCTAAATTAGATTTAAATTTCTTCCATGACAGTCCTTAGAGAAAAAAATAAAATAAAAACAATAAGTGCTCAACAAATTAGCAAAGGGGCTAAGTCAATACATCTCATAGCCACGTGAAAGCTATTAACCTCACTGATAGATAACACTTATAATGTCTATAAAACCCAAGTATTACATGAGTTCTCAAAAATTATTTATGTAGTTTCCACTTACTTTGTGTGTGTGTGTGTGTGTGTGTGTGTGTGTGTGTGTACATGCGTACACCACAGTAAGCCTGTAGAGGCCAGAGAACAACTTTCAGAAGTCAATTCTCTTCCTCCACTTTGTGTGGTCCAGGAATCCAAACTCAAGTTGGCAGCCTCATATCTGGCCCTCATGACATGAATTCTCAAGAGGGGGATATTTACTGAAGCTCTTCTCTCAGTTGATATTGTTCATTCTTTACTCATTCAACAAAGCGTTATCCTACTAAGGACATCAATGTGCCGAGGCACTGGGACAGTCAGCCCAGAGACGTACAAGGTAATAAGGCAGATGCAAATCACAAGGATTTTAAACTCATATAAAATAATACATGCTTCATTTCACCCTCCTTGCCTTACTTAATCTTCTTGGAAACTGGAAATTTATTAATATTATCTATAAGTGGAAAGGCTGTCACATTTGGGAGAGGGTTGGAGGGTTGAAGTGGGTGCTCACTCAATAGGCTGGCCTCAAGCAACTGGCAATCCCCCTGCCTCAGCATCCTAAGTGTTGAGATTACAGGCATGAGCCACCACACCCAGCAGCAGAAAGCTTGCCACTTCTAATTCACCCGCCAACACGGATGGTGTTAGTAGAGAACAAGCCTGACAAACAGATGAAAATCTACTTGCAAGACCCATGCACTCCAACTCCTGCTGTTAATAAGAATGGTTAATTTTACTGAATCCTATGTGCCTGGTACTTTTTGGGGGGGTTGGGGGATGAGTAGGGGCAGGGCTTTTCAAGACAGGATTTCTCTGTGTAGCCTTGGCTGTCTTGGAACTCCCTCTGTAGCCTAGGCTGGCCTCAAACTCAGAGATCTGCCTACGTCTGCCTCCTGAGTGGGATTAAAAGTATGTGCCATAGCCCAGCCCAAACCCATACTCTTAATCAATTTGCAACGAAGAACAACGGTATAGAAGAATGATTTCACTCTGTTGCAAAAACTTCATGTTTCCTATTAGTACTGTCCAGGTTGGCTTCAAAACCTAAAAGGCTTCAGGGGTTTGCTTTTGTCTTTATTTCCTGTGTATGAGTGGTTTACCTGAATATGTCTGTGTATCACATACATATGTGATGCCCTCCAAGGCCAGAAGACGGCCTCGGATCTCCCTGGAACTTTGTTACAAGCAACTGTTAGCTAACTCTGTGGATACTAGGAATCAAACCCAGTTCTTCTAGAAAAGCTGCTGACTGATGAGCCATCTCTCCAGCCCAAGGATGACTTTTTTTAAAAGATCTATTTTTCTTTATGTGTATGCATGTGTATTTGTGTACCACGTATGTGTGTGTGTGTGCCCGTGGAGAACAGACGGTATTGGATGCCCTGAAGTTGGAGTTACAAGTGATTTTGGGACGCCTGCTGAGGGTGCTGGAAATCGAACGGGTTTCTTAACCACTGAGCCATCCCTTCAACCCCATCAAGGCTGAAATCTCAAACAATAACTGTTCACCAACTCTCTCCAGCTTGAGTTAACAGCAGAGACCACATCTTCCAAGGCGCAAGCAACCCCCACACATGAATTCTCTTGCAAGGCCCAGCTCAAACGCCCCGAGCAGCTGGCTCTCCTCCAGTGACAGGGCGCTGAAGACCTCTGGGGCCACATCCCCCTGTGGCTAAGGAACGTCACTGTACCGACGTCCTTACCTCTGTAAGAGGCGGCGGCGGCTGCAGCTCGGACAAAGGCAAGGCGGGCAGAGAGAAGGCCAACTCCGCGGACCTGGAACACCACACAAACTGCATCAGCCACGCGAGCCCCCGAGGCCGAGATCCAGCGCCGCCCCTGCCGACCCCGACCTCTCACCATTTGCTGCTGTGGAGCAGGCCCCGCTCCCGAGTGAGGCCCGCGATGAGCAGCAGCTGCTTCTTAATTTCCCGCAAGTCTGAGAAATCCGCGCTAGTGGACACGCCTGGTACCGCGGCGGCGGCCGCGGCCACCGAGACTACCGAGGAACTCGCAGCCATTTTCCTCCCTCGGCTGCTCCGGCCAATCAGCGGCGACGATACTTCCTCGGCCGAACCGGAAAAGTCTGTCTCTCATTGGCCTAGCCTTGCTCCGGATCGACCAATCACAAACCTTCTCTGTAATGTGCAGAAAAGGCGATGGAAGGGAAAAAGAGACAATTACACTCTGATTGGCAAGAGATACCGAGGGAGGTAAATTAGAACGAGAAGTGAAGGGGAGGGAGATGCATAAAGAATTTGATGGGTGGGGGACTGAGGGATCGTAGCAAGAGAAGATGGAGAAGAGAGAAAGCCATGCACCTTAGTGGTAATGCGTGGAACGAGAGACAGAAAGGGGTGTGGTTTATGGGAAGATTCTTTGCTAGGGGATAGCAATGATGGATGCATTCTGGAAAGAATTCGCAGATTCCCCTGGGATTTTTCCTTGCAGTACATTAAGATGCACTACCTCCCGTGGGAAATCATTCCTCTTTATCACCCTCCGCTTTGCCCAAACGGGGAAAACAGCCAATATTGATTGAAAAAAGTGTTGCGCACTTTTACAAATGTCATCTGATTTAATTCTAAAACCAGAACTATGATATTCCTATCATTTTATCACCACAGTTTTATAGATAAGAAAACAATCTCAGGCCCAAGAAAAAAATTTAAATTATAAACTATATGTGACTCTGAAGCCCAGTGCTCTTAAATATCACATGTAGAGTGCTGTAGGTGTGTAACTCTTGCCCTGGGTTTAATCCTTAGCACCCACCCCCAAAATTACATGATAGTTAACAGTTATTTGTTGTTTGATTGATTTGTGGGGATAGGTTCTCATGAAGCTCATGCTGGCCTTGAACTCCTAATCTTTGTGCCTTCACCTACTATGCTGATATTACAGATGTGTACTGCTAAGCACCAATGACGTTTTTTTTTTAAACCTAAGAGTATTTCATATAGCCAGATCGGGAAGTTGAGGAAGGAGGATTGAACAAGCCCAGAAGTTCTAGACTAGCCTGGGGAACATAGACTGGAGATTTTTTGTTTTGTTTTGTTTTTTTAATGTACATAGTAGAGTCAGACTAGGCCCGAGACTGGGAGCGACGCGGAGATTGGGGCAGCGGCCACTGAGGCCGACCGCACTGTTTGTGGGCAACCTGGAGATGAAGATGACTGAGGAGCCCCTCTTGGAGCTGTTCCACCAGGCTGGGCCAGTAATAAAGGTGAAAATCCCAAAAGATAAAGATGGCAAACTGAAGCAGTTTGCAAATTTCAAACACAAAGTGTCTGTTCCTTACGCCATGAATCTTCTCAATGGAATCAAAGTTTTCGGGAGGCCTATCAAAATTCAGATTGCATCAGGAAGTAGTCACGCCTCCCAGGATGCCAGTGCGTCATATCCCCAGCATCATGTTGGAAATTTAAGCCCTACCTCCACATCTCCGAACAGCTATGAAAGGACGGTGGGTAACGTAATTCCGTCAGCGCAGATGGTCCAGAGGTCCTTCTCTTCTCCAGAAGATTATCAGCGGCAAGCAGTGATGAACAGTGTTTTCAGACAGATGTCGTATGTTGGGAAATTTGGTTCTCCACATGCAAATCAGTCGGGATTTTCACCCTCAGGTCAATCACACGCTCATACCTTTAACCCGTCTTCCAGCTCCCAGTGGCGCCAAGATGCACGGTCGTTACAGCGTAAAAGACAGAATTCTCACCCCTACGTAGGAGATAGACACTACTGCCGTGAGTAGCGCTCCTCTGACCATGGGTCTGACTATCATTACAGAGGAGCCCGAGAGGGTTTCTACTATGACGACAGGAATCATAATGGCTGGAGCCATGACTGTGATAACAGAAGGGACAGTGGTAGAGGTGGGAAATGGCCCTCATCTCGACACTAACAAGCATGCCAAGGACATGTTTACAGGGGCCATTTTAGCCCCCCCTCCTCTTTTTTTTTTTTTTTGGTTTTTCGAGACAGGGTTTCTCTGTGTAGCTTTGGCGCCTGTCCTGGATCTCGCTCTGTAGATCAGGCTGGCCTCGAACTCACAGAGATCCGTCTGGCTCTGCCTCCCGAGTGCTGGGATTAAAGGCGTGCGCCACCACTGCCCAGCTCATTTTAGGCCCTTTTAAGTTGTTCTGGAAGAATTTCTAAAAAAGTGTACAGAGTAGCCCCACAATTTTCCACCTGTCTTTGATTAAAAAAATAATAATTTTTTTTAACCCAGCAGCAGTTTCGTAGAGAACTGGGAACTGTAGCTCCACGTTTGTTACTTCAGTTACCTCCCCTCGGGGTTTCAGAAGAGAAGGATTTCACACAAGAGAATGGCCACCATTCCAGTCATTTCAGCCCAGGAAAGACGAACTGTATAGATTGGTTGATTATAAAGCAAACATTTTAATTATCTCACCCTTTTGTGTTGCAAGAAATTTCTTGGTAATGAAATCATTTTGGTGTATATAATAGGAAACATCCATGTTGGTAGTCTGAAATGGCTATCTGCATTTTATTAATAAATGAGAAAATAGGACTTCTCAGTAACCCATCTTATTAACAATTTATTTAAAACAGTTTATTGGTTTTGTTTGGTGATAAATCATATTTTCTAACTCAGAATTTAAGTACAAATTCTGTGATGTGCTCTTGAATTTTATCACAATTGAACATACATTAAAAATCTATACTAGTTCATTCTAAGAACTTTAAAATTCTTTCATTAAATTATATTTGATGTATGACTAGTCACTCAGGAAGTTAAATATCTACATGTATATTTTTACATAAAAAGACAGTGTTAGGCCGGGCGGTGGTGGCGCACGCCTTTAATCCCAGCACTTGGGAGGCAGAGCCAGGCGGATCTCTGTGAGTTCGAGGCCAGCCTGGTCTCCAAAGCGAGTTCCAGGAAAGGCGCAAAGCTACACAGAGAAACCCTGTTTCGAAAAACCAAAAAAAAAAAAAAGACAGTGTTGATGAAAGTTCTTTTTAGAGGAACAACGAAGCTAATACATAGATAAAATGGCAAAATGTTTCACTGCAAGGATTATAATTTTGAAATTTTGTTTAACAAAACTTCCATGTTGCTCGTTGACTGCAAATCATTTTTAAGAATTTATTCTGGCCGGGTGGTGGTGGCACATGCCTTTAATCCCAGCCCTTGGGAGGCAGAGGCAGGCAGATCTCTGTGAGTTAGAGGCCAGCCTGGTCTACAAAGCAAGATCCAGGATAAGCACCAAAACTACACAGAGAAACCCTGCCTCGAAAAAACAAAAACAAAAATAAACAAACGAAAAAATGTAACCTGCAGTTTGGTTCTTAAATACATTGTACAAATATTGGCATATGTTCATGACCACTTCCAAAAGAATGAAAAAGAAAAGAATTTATTCTGTGAGAAATGTGGATACTCTTTATACCATAGCATTTATTTATTTGTTTGTTTGTTAAAATCATTTTTTATTTATTATGTACAATGTTCTGCCTGCATGTATGTCTACATGCCAGAAGAGGGCACTAGATCTCATAATAGATGGTTGTGAGCTATCCTGTGGTTGCTGGGAATTGAACTCAGGACCTCTGGAAGAGCAGCCAGGGAGTGTTCTTAACCTCTGAGCCATCTCTCCAGCCCATACCACAGGATTTATACTATGTTCCTTTTTAGTATATTAAATACATTTGAAAAGGGGGGGGGAATGTATATAGTAGGCGGGTGGTGGTGGCGCACACCTTTAGTCCCAGCACTCGTAAGGCAGAGCCAGGCGGATCTCTGTGTCTCTGTGAGTTCAAGGCCAGCCTGGTCTACAGAGCGAGATCCAGGACAGGCACCAAAACTACACAGAGAAACCCTGTCCCAAAAAACAAAAAACAAAAATAAAATAAATTAAAAATTTACAATAATGTGGGAGTCTGCCAGAGTAATGAGGAAATGATAAAAGAAAGAGACAGTAAGAGACTGGGAGGGCCCTGGGTCAATACCTAGTTGCCTTGAGGTTTATTCCAAAGGGCAATTTATATAATGTCAAGGGGTGAGGCAAAAGACCTCCCTTTTTCAGGATCAAATCACAACATAATGTAGACCCTTCCAAACACCTGGTAACACGCCGTGGCCAAATCACCCCATTGTCAGCCCTGCTGGGTAAAGCAAGCTCAGATTCTCTGACCTTGAGTAAGATATGCTAGGAAGCCTCTGTAGGCCACCACACAATAACATACTTTACCTAAAATCATTTTCTAGCCTTTTTTTTTTTTTTAGACAAAAGTCTTATGTTGCACAGTATGGTTTTGAACTCCCAAAGTAGCCAAGAACAACTTTGAACTCCCAATCTTCCTGCCTCTACCTCCCAAGTGCTGCAATTATAGATATATGCCACCATACTTGGCTTTAAAATTTTTTATTACATTTATTTATATATTTATTTATTTACTCTGTGTGTGTGTGTGTGTGTGTGTGTGTGTGTGTGTGTGTGTGTGTGTGTGTGTGAATGTGGAGCTCTGAGGACAACTTGTGGTTCCTCTTCTTCCACCATGTAGGTCATGGGGTTGACCTCGGGTTGTTAGTCGTGGCAAGAAGTACCTTAACTCACTGAACCATCTCTACTGGTTTCCTGCCTCTCTTTGAAATAATTTTAAAGAAACTTCTCAGGGTTGGGGATTTAGCTCAGTGGTAGAGCTCTTGCCTAGCAAGAGCAAGGCCCTGGGTTCAGTCCTCAGCTCCAAAAAAAAAAAAAAAAAAAAAAAAAGAACTTTCTCTTTGCAGCAGATAGAGATTATTAAGGAAAACCACAACCAATCAAAAGGCAGAGGAGAAGAGCTCTGGTGGTACCCGGTCCCGGCTGATCCATCTATCACACAATCCTGCACCTAAGGCTCAGGCACCATTGCAGAAGATCTGGACATATGTGATCACTAATCCTCTTGGCCTCCTGCAAAACAAGTATCATTATCTCCATATGACACAGTGACACAGTTGAGAACAACCTCTGATGACAATTTAGGTGAGGTGACCTCAAGGCCTATGTACCTAGTGTCCATATTCTTCCATTGTAC